CGAGGGTTATTAATAGAGGGATTAAAGCCCCACAGCCTCCTCTCTGCCCGCACTGCCCTCAGAGCTGCTCAAGCATCCACAGCCTTGGCTTCTGAAGCCCACTCCTCCTCGCCCAGCCGGGGTAACTTTTCGCTTCCTTTTTTTCCTGTAGCTCCCAGAATGGAGAGGAAGGTGGAGCCTGCCCGAACAAACCAGTTTGACACGGAGATGCTGCAAGCCATGATCCTGGCGTCGGCAAACGGTCAGTGTCCTTTGCGTGCGGGGAAACCACGGCCCTGGCCTCACAGGGGCTTCTCAGATGCGTGCCATTAGGTCAGATGCTTGTGGGATTGACGTGAGCGGGTTATTTGGGGTGGATTCGGGTGGATGAGCTGAAACAGAGCCGCCTGCATTACCCTGCGGGGGGGCAGGCAGGGGAGGGGTGCCATCGGCAGAGTGCAGACAGGGCACCCAAACTGTGCTGCCCGTGCACAGGACAGTGTCACCTGCCCGTTGATGGGACTGTGGTGAACGAATGAGCCGGTCTTGGGTGTATTACGAGCTGTTTATTCCAGAAGGCTGCAGGAAACAAAATACCTGCCGTGGTCTTGGGGCTGCCGGTGGCCAGAAGCAGGCATTCAGGCAAAGCTTGGCAGCAGGAGGCTGCTGTAGAGAAGCAGCTCCCTACATCCCCACGGCGAGGGGGAGCTCACTGCAGCAGGGATGCTCTGAGGGTAGACCTGGGGGTCGTCAGAGCAGGACCCCCAGCACGGCTCCCATCCAGCACCCGCTGGGGCTCACTGGGGTCTTCCTGGGGCTGGGGCTGTGCCTCCGGGCTGCAGTCGCTGGGCTTCCTTTGGGGTAATTCCCCTATTTCCTTGGGTTGTCCTGTTTTACGGCTGCATTGTGTGAAAGCAGCAGACGGGAGGAGTGTTCTGTGCGCCCGCGATCTCCCTGGCTTTGTGTAAGTGCAATTACCACTCTACGCAACACTCCGGATAAAGAGCCCGGTTTTCATAAAGCCTTTATTTATAAATACCTCCAGGCTTCCCCCCCCCCCCCTCCCCGGTTTAAAAATAGAAACAACAGCACAGCCATAAAACCCTGGGTAAAATGCTTTGGATGTTTTCTTTGAGCTCTTGGGAGAGAAGGAATCTGGGGGAGGAGGGTAGTGCTCGATGCTGCTTTCTCGGAAAGCCGCTGCAGCCCTCTGCAGCCACCAGGCAGCCCTGGGCCAAGCTGCCGGGGAAGGGGACGAAGGAATTGGGCAATGGAGTTGTTTACGCTCAGGGGGAAAAAAAGAAACTATGTGAAAATGGGACTCTGCTCTGAAAAACGGCCCTTGGAAAAAAACTGCCTGGGGGGGCCCATGTGGTTATCATCCCTGGTGCCTCCTGATCCCGTTTCCTTGCTCACAAATAACCTGGTTTTCTGGCTGTGTCAGGACCTGAGAGCCATGCAGGTCCCTTCCAGGTCAAGCTCTGACTCCTGCGTAGCCCCAGGCCCTATTTAGGCAAATCTCCCCCGGTCCACATGTCTCTGAGGGCCCTAACCTCTCCCCAGGGGGCTGCATTAAAGCAGAGCCCCCCAGGAGAGGAGGGCGAGTGGCTTTCCCTGCTGCAGCGCAGGGAGAGGCATCTCGGAGGTGTCTCCTTCCCCTGAGAACAGCCCCAACCCCATCTCTCTCCACCTTCAGTGCAGCATAAGTCCTCAAAAGTATTTTTTTTTTTTTTTTCCCCACTGGAGCTGTATTTTCATCAGTCTCCTCTGCTCTCTGCTTTGCTGTTCTCGCTCATTAAGTTAATAGTGCTGATTGGAGCAGGCTTTGATGAGGGGCAGGGCTAATTGCCCACTCAGCTTTGTGTTGCTCATCCTCGGGTAATGTTTCCTGGCTGTTTAAATGGTTCTCGCCTCTTAATGTCCCCTGCTGGGCTCTGGTTGAGCTCCAAGGGGAGGAAGCTCCCTGAGCCTGAGCTGCTCCATGCTGGAGACCTCCAGGGGCTGGAGCTCCTCTGATGCTGCCCTGCTCCACCAGCTTCTGGAAGGGTTGGTGCGGTCCTACCCGCATCTTTACCCTGTGCCATCTTTGTGCTTCGTTTCAAATCCTCTGGCTCCTCTGCCCTCGGAGCTGGGAGCCTGGGAAGTTTGAAAATCCAGGATTTTTTAGCAGTCTGCAGGGGCAGAGGCAGCTGCTAGGACAGACCAAGGAGCAGGGATGCTCAGGAAACCAGATACTGAAGGGCAGGCGTATGAAGCACACTGTCCTTAAAATACTTCATTTTTTTTTGTCAAGAATTTATAGGGGTGCTGTGAGACAGCGAGGAAGCCGCAGACAGCGAGGCGGCCGGGCAGCCTCACTATATCGGGTCTCCAAAAGCCCCAGCAGCAGCTGCAGCAGCAGCAAGTGCTCCAGAGCTGCCTCCCCGACCTCCTGTCCCCTCTGCTTCTGGGGGAGCGGAGCCAGAAGGTGGTTATTTTTGCCAAAGCCTTGTTTTCCTCCTCACCATGTGGCTGCAGGGGCCTCGGGGCTTTTTTGGCTAACGGCTGGCCACTGATGGAGGCTGAGCATAACCTTTCCAGCAAGAAGAAATGAAGTGCCCTGCTTGGCAAGAGCAGCTCAGCGGTGCTGAGTTATAAACCTCTATTGTCCCTGTTCCTCTTCTTTTCAGCCCTAATGGCAATGTTACCTAGAAACAGCCCTTTGCTCTTGTGCTGGACCAACTGGAGGGCTGGGAACCTCACGGGAGGCATTTTTCCTGGAAAGCTGTGCTGTGACTGCAAACGAGTTGGTGGGGACCAGTGTGCTGGTGCTGCCGGGAGCCCCAGACCCTTCCTGCACAAAGCATCTGGGATGCTCCTCGGGCACGGGACACTGTTCCCAACCCCCTGGCCTCCACCCAGGCTGTCACAGGCTAAATTGCAGCAATGGATGAGACCACAAAAAAGATCTGCCCGGCTGCAGCCTGGCCTGGGCACAGCTCCAGGCATCCAGCGCAGCTCAGAACCCCCAGCGGGTGTGGGGCTGGGCTGGGTTTAATGAAATGAGATTCTGCGGGGACCAGGGATCACAAACCTCTGCGAGATGTTTTAAAACGAGAAGGTAGCGAGCAGTAAAACCTGAAACAGAGAGCGAGCGCTGAGCGTTGCAGCAGATGTAATCGCCTGGCCCTGCACGTCTTCCCCAGCCCATCTGCCTGCCCCAGGTCCCCAGAGCCCCCACATTCTGGGACCAGATTCAGGAAGAGCTGTCCCCAGCCTGTCTCTGAGCTCGTGCTGTGTTTCCTCCCTCTGCTCCAGCGGAGCAGCTGTAATTTTTCAAGCTGCGATTGCTCAATGCCCCTGACCTCTCCGAGCGGGCACGTGCGCAGGAATATTTCAGGGCGCTGGGGGGCTCGGTGCCCTGCCAGAAGGATGGATCAGCCGCCTCTGCCTGCTGGGGGCAAAGCCAAGGCAACACAGAGGCGTGTGTGGGTCTGATCCAGAGAGATGATGCACGAAAGGACCAGCCCCTGACTTCTGGTGGTTTGCCTCTACTCCTGCAAGGCTGGGGGAGGAGGGACGAGCAAGTCCTGGGGCTCTGCCTTGGGCCCTTCAGACGCCCGGGTTCCCAGCTGTCCAGGAGAGCAGTTAAAAGCCCCCTGCATTAGAGGGGGCAGGATTTCAGCAGGCTGCTTCCCTGTGAGGCTGTGCGAGGATGCTGGCTGGGCTGCACATATTGGAGATGATGGTGCGGGGCTGCTGGAGGAGCGCTGCTCGTGCTCTGCCCTCCCTCCCTACTTGTTTCTCCTCCTCCCCCCGTTTCCATCTGGTCTCTGCCTCCAGCATCCTAGGGGAGCCCTGCTCTCTGCAATTCCTTCCCTTCCCCTTCCCTTCCCTTCCCTTCGCTTCCCTTCCCTTCCCTTCCCTTCCCTTCCGTCCTTCCGTCCCCTCCTTCCCTTCCTTCCTCCTTCCCTTCCCTTCCTTCCCTTCCTCCGTCCCTTCCCCCAGCACAGCTCTCTCCCAGATCCGCACTAGCGCAGCGATCGCTTTGTGCTCAGTTTCCTGGAGCCATTTTGCAAGTACTGCAAGGGAGGGATTTTTCTTTATCGATCCGTCTGCTCCCGGAATAAACCTGGCTGGGAAAACGCTGGAGTCAGGGGTTTAGATGCAGGGGCAGGGGAAAAAAAATAAAAAGTGTAGAGCTCGGTATTGGATTTGCGTAATGCACTGCTAATGGTTGGGCTGCTCGGTGTATACTTTGGGCTGCTGGGGGGGGGGGGTTGGTCTCCGGGGAGCGGGGCAGAGCAGGAGAGGTTGTGTCCTGCCCTGGCATCCCCCATCCCAAAACCCCAAGGGCTCAGCCTGGCCTTCCTCCCGGGAGATGCCAGGAGGGAGGAGGAGGATGCTCAGGGGCATCTCCCCCATGTGATAGCGATGAAGGCAGATTTGGGGGGCAGGCTGCCCACCCGTGCTAACGCCCTGCCCTTCTCTCTGCCCCGCAGAGGCCGCTGATGGCAACTCGACGCTCGGGGGGGGCACGGGCACCATGGGGCTGAGCGCCCGCTACGGCCCCCAGTTCACCCTGCAGCACGTCCCCGATTACCGGCAGAACGTCTACATCCCGGGCAGCACCGCCACCCTCACCAACGCTGCCGGCAAGAGCAACGCCAAGGGGTCCTCGGGCGGGCAAAGCAAGAAGAAATCCGGGAAGAAGGAGAAGGAGAAGAAGTAGAGAGGAGACCTCAGAGCGTCAGGGCAGCGCGCTCCAGCAACTCCCCCAAAACACAGGAGGACGAATGTGGATTTTGTTTTTATTTTTAACGATTTTTTCTTTTTTTTTTTTGGTGATGCAAAAGTTAGGAAGCGCTGCGAATGTATCGTCATCATCAGAGCTAGGAGCAGGGTGTCTCTGCTGTTAGATCTCATGATGAAAACCAATCCGGAAAATGAAAGCTAACGCAAACAAGTGCCCTGTTAATACTAGCCAACGTTTTATACGACCCCTCGGGTATTAGAATATGCAAGGTGGAAGGGCTTCTGCCATGTCTTTGGATTTGATTTGCTCCAAGATTGTCCAAGAAAGGCACGAGGCTTGTGCTCGGCTTTGTCCAGTGTAAATAATTTTAACAGCGATCTTTTAATTTATAGACCTTTGATCATTTTTGGAAAGAAAAAGCAACTTCCTAGCCTAGAACCCATGCTCCAGATTTTTTGCTCTTTAGCTTTCTTTTAGCGAAATTCACCCTGAGCTAGTCATAGCAGTGGATTTGTTGGTAGGGAGTGCTTCGGTTCCTGTTTACCTGTTATCTGAAAAAAAAAAAAAAGAAAAAAAGTAAGTGTTTATATTGCATGAATCAAAGGGAACAATGCAGAGCTGCATCCTAAACATTTATTTTTTTTTTAAGTGCAACCAGCGATGGCCTGAAAAATGAGATAAAAACTCCTGGTGTCTGAGCAGGAGGGAATTCAGCGCGGGGCTCCTGAGGTGCGCGCAGCTGCCCCGGCAGTTCTGGGGGTCTCTGAAGAGCAGACACATCTCATCCCTCTTTTGCAGTAAATATTTATATGTACAGTAAATGTCCTTTTGGAATTAAAGCTAAGGGAGCCACAGCCCCCCTGCGGCAGGCTCCTTCCACCTGAGGGGGGGGCTGGGGGTCTGCCCACGTCTCCCCCCATCACTCCTGCATGCCCATCACTGGCGTCACGCCGTGCTCCACAGATTCCAGGGTGTCCTCGCATGCCCACACAGTTTGGGGTGAAGGCACCGGTGGAGGTGCCGTGTCTGTCTGGGGCTGGGGGGTCACCGTTTTGTACCAGGGGAGCTTTGGGTATTGAGTAAGTGACAATTGGCGTGGTGGCACCTGAGGATACAACCCGGGCCAGGGACCTGTGAGCTGGGGGTGAGTGCGTGGTGTCCCTGCAAAGGGGGTGCAGCTGGCACCAGTTTTGGAGGAGGTGGCACTGGCTTTGGGATTGCCACCCCACAGAGGGAACAGAAGGACAAGGAATAGGATTTCTCCACGCTGAGCACATTTCAAGCAAACCCAGCCCGGAGAAGGGTCCCGGTGGCCTCAGCAGCACTGCCGGTGCCACCCACTGTTGGGGCACCCCAAACTTCCCATTTCAGAGCAGTCGTGGGTGCCCATGCGGGCAGAGAGGGGCTTTGGTACCCAGAGGTGGGGAGGCAGTGGCCACCCTGGGGTCCGCTTGGTTTCCTGCGGGTTCCTTTTTCTCTTTTTAATCACTAACACATAACTCACCCGAGCAGGTCCAGCCCCGCACAGGATGCTCACAGCGCCCCGTCCACCTCCACGGTGGCTGCAGGGAGCAGCCCCCACCCCTAGTGCCGCTTCCACAGGCCCACGTAGCTGTCACGTCCCCTCTAGAAACGCTGTAGATGAATCGTAGTCTTTATATTTCTTTTTAATCTGCAAGCTGAAGGTAGTGTAGTGAGTGTCGTGTATTTAGTGGCGTGTTATTTTTATCTCGGTAACTAACTTGTGGACACCAGTATTTTCGATTTCTCTGTATCTTCTTTCCATGTGGTCTGTGCTCCGAGTGTACGTGCGATGAAACACGTTTGCCCTCTCAATGTGTCTAATATTGAATTATACTTATATATATATATATGCTTATATCCTTCTTATACCCGTATAGACCGACGTCGATGTGTTACACGCAAGTTTTATACTCTAATATTTATATTGCTTTTTTTCTTTGGGAAAAAAAAATAATAAAATGGTTTCTTCTGAATCACTGGTGGTCGTTGCTGTGTCAAGGGATGGGGGGGGGCAGGATGAGGTGCCGGGGCTGCCAGCGGGGGGTGGCCAAGCGTGGTCCGGGGATGCTCTCGGGTCCCCCCCAGTCCTCGGGTCCCCCATCCTCTCGTGGCTCCCCACGGAGGAGCCCCCGGGGTCCACTGCTGCAGCCCCTTCCCCAGCACCGGGGGGGGCCGTTCCCGTCCCGGGCTCCCCGCCTGCGATGGGGGGAGGCGGAATGAGAGGGGGGGGGCTGGGGCTGAGCCCTGCGGGGGGGCAGCACCCCGTGGCTCGGGGGGTCGCAACCGCGGAGGGACAAAGCCAGATCGGGGGTGGGGGGGACAGAACAGCCCCGGCAGGCATCAACACCCCCCACACACACCCTTTCTCCGTCCGGGGGGGCTGTGACCGCCCCCCCCATCCTTTAGCAGCACGCAGGAGGCTCCAGGCACAGCCCCCCTCGTCCCCCCCCCGTCCTCCCCCCTCCATCCCCGCTGGGCCGCGGGCGCCCCCGCAGGAGCGCGGCCGCACAGCAATGGAAGGGGGAGAGGAAGCTTTATTTTTTGGGGGGGGTGGAGCCGTGGGCAGCCCCCCCTGCACCACCACCGGACTCTGCCCTCGCACACAGTTCACCCCCCCCGGCACCTCCCTGCAGCGCACAAGACCCCAAGCCCCCCGGCGCCCCACAGGGACCCCCCCCCCCCCAAAAATCGTGTTACACCCCCCCACCGAGACCACCCCCACCCAAATCCGCTTGCACCCCCCCAGAGCCCGACGAGCCTTTAATTCCCATTTATTTCTCTTTTTCTGCTGCACGGAAATTTCCTACGGGCGACGGGAGGACGGGGAGGACAAAGGCGCTGAGATGCAAGTTGGACACCACTGGCCCCGGCTAATTAGCGCTGATGAGGGAAAGGCGCTCAGGGTTAATTGCCGGGGGGTGGGGGGGTGGGAATGGCCCGGGGGGGGGTCGCTGCTGAAGGAGGGGAGGGGAGAAAAGGGTGGACGAGGAATCCCACCGGGCAGCGCCCGCAGCCGGGAACTCGCCCTGCAAAAAATGCAGAATAAAAGCTGAGGGGAGAGAGAGAAAAAAAAAAAAAAAGAGGAAAAAAAAAAGTGGTTTCGGGTATTGACCTCTGGCCGGCTGCAGCCCCTTCCCACGGGCTCCAGCAAGCCCCGGCAGTTTATTTCCCATCCCCCGAATAACGGAGCCGGCTCCTTTTACAGCCTCGCATACCCGGGGGGGTTGAGAGGCATTTACCGATCCTCCGCATCTCTTCCTGCTCCATAAATCCGCTTCCTGACGCTTTATTTATTTATTTATTTATTTATTTATTTTTAAAGCTTAAGCCCGGTGTTGGGAGGCAGAACAGATTCGCCTTCTCATTGCCTAAACCCTGTGAGCGCCGTGCGGGGGTGCCAGAGCTTGGAGCACACAGGGGGTCCCCGTCCCTGTCCCTGTCCCTGTCCCTGCCCTGTCCCTGTCCCTGTCCCTGTGCCCTCCCTGGGGACACAAGCTGGCTTAGCTTGGGCTTTGCAATATGCACAAAATGCATCGCAATACAAGTGCATCAATAAAAAATGTACGGGGGGGTGGGGAGGGATCAAAATGTTTTAACTGGTGGGGAAGTGAGATCAAAAAGGTTTGGAGGCGGCTGCTCTCGCCAATGCCGCGGGCTGCCCTGTGTTGTTGGAGGATGGAAAGAGGGAAAATGGAATGGAAATTGGAGGATGGAAAGTGGAGGATGGGCCCAGCAGCCCCCCAGGACATGCTGCCCCCCCACCAGTACCCAGTTTTGGGGCATCATGCTCCCCAAATAGCAACTTGTCCTTGCCTCGCTAATCAAAAAAGAAACCACTTTGGGAGAGTTGAGACAAACTGGGGCACTAACGAGGTCTCTGCCCTCATTTTAAAAATTATCTTGGCTGTCCCCTGTGTCTGTGCCTGCAGGGAGCGGTGCCCTGGCTCACCCCTCCCGATGCAGCAGCAGGGACACCTCGAGCAGGAAGGGGGCTGGGGACGAGGCAGGGGCAGCTGATGGCTGCGTGCCCCCGAGCAGGGGACAAGGGAGGTGAGGAGGACAGCGTTGGGGAGATGCTGGTGGCAGTGTGCTGAACCTGGAAGGGAAAAAAAGCATCCTCAGGAGGCTCCAAGGACCCTCTTGGTCATGCCCCCCCAGCACCTTCTCACCCCCTGCCATCTCCTTTCTGCTTCAGGAGCTTGTTTCATCACTGCCATGCTCAAGCTGCTCCAGGCTCCTCCAACGATGATGGGTCCATGGAGGTTGCTTTGGGCTCCCTTTGTCCCAGCTCCTTTGGTCCCCAATGCCCTGACCTCCCCGTGGCTTCTCCTCCTCCTCCATCCTCCAGTGGATGCCACTGGGACATCAGCAGCTGCCAAAAGACGCGTTTGGCCCCATGATGGGTGGCCACACGTGATAGAGCCCTGCACCATTGTCCCCATGCCCCATGTACAGAACTGCTCGCAAGGACGAACAGCTCCCGTGACAAGAAGCCAGGGACACCAGCACGTGGCAAAGCATTTGCCCAACTATAGCGGCCATCTGGCCACGACAGTCGTGCAGCCGGCAGGGAGCTGCAGCTTGCCCGATTTCTGGCAGCCTCTAGGCTCACCCAAATCCTGCCCAGACACAGCCATGCTGGTACATGGACACCTTTGGGGACAAGAAAGGCTTGAGCTGCGTGGCCAGGGCCATGCCTCCTGGTTTATCCCCAGGGTATGGGTGGATGTCAAGGAATTCTTTGGCTCAGGGAGTGGGAGGGTGGCAGCACCCAGCCGGCAGCAGCGCCCAGCAGTCCACCCGCAGGGACGGCTCCAGCCTGGGTGAGGCCCCGTGACTCAGTGCCACGAGGCTCCAGGCTGGTCTTTGCATGAAAATTACGATATGGAGGCAAAGACGCTCAAGATCACATTTCTTTTGTACCAAAAATAATGTTTATTTCTACATAAGCTGCATTGGTAAACCCTGATGGTATCACGATGCTGCCGCAGCATCGATTGTCCACAGCTGCAAAGCCACACACAAAAAAAAGTGACTTTATATAGAAGGAACCATTACAATTAAACGAAAGCCTTTGGGCAAGACTCCAGCTCATATATCCTGATGTCTCTCTCATTTTGCAACTTCCTGGAGCTGCCCAATGCAGCCACTGGCATTTAGCTGTGCAAGGGCAACTCCTCCCTGCCCACGCAGTCACCAGCCCGGCAGCGCCCGCTGCCGCCCTGACCCGAGGGTGAGACGTCTGGCAGCCCTGCAATGCCCCAAGGACCGAGAAAACAGAGCACAATGCCTGAGCTGCAATCTTTGACCCCCTCATCCCTCCCCGGGGGCAGTGGCCGGCAAGGGAAGGGTCCAAGCCTTGCTTCTAGCAGGCTGGCGGAGCACCCAGCCCTGAGCGTGGCGGTGCCACCACCTCTGTTCAGCACCCTGCTGCCCCTCTGCTGCTGGAGGCTGAGCAGCAGCCCTTCCTCCCCCCTCTGCAATCCGCGTTTCCCTCTTTCAAGTGAAAACCTCTTGCATGCAGGCACGTCTCTCTCTTCCCAAGGGCCCATCCGCAGCGCAGCAGCTCCCCAGCTGTTATTGTCTCCGGTTCACGCACCGCTGGGTTTTTAACGCCAGAGCTGGGACCTGAACCAGGACAGAGCTAATGGACACGAAGAGAAGCAGTGAGCAGACGTCAGGCCCTGCACAAAGTGCCCGACTGAGCGCACATGCTGCCGCACGGGCTGACCTGGCTCAGGGAGGGACATGTGCTTGCCCGTGCTGTCCCAAATCTTTATCAGCATTTGCAGCCCATAGTGGGCTAGCAAGCCCCAGAAAGACCCAGAACGACCCAAAAACAGTGTTTTCCTTTACTAAGAGTACTAAAATTAGAGTCAAATGTAAAAGCTGGGAGGCTCAGCGTGACCTGAGCCAGAAGCACCGTGAGGGGACAAGCTCTGGGGACCCACAGCCTGGAGCAGGCAGTGCCCCGCGGGCAGCCTGAGTCCCTGCCCAGCGCCTGACCCCGCACCGCACACGCCTGCCAAGCCCCGGCCACGCAGGATGGAACATTTCTGCTCTTGGGTGCGACAGCAGCCAGGCTGTTATGGATGGCTCCATTACCTCACCGCTACAAATATGCTGAGTTAAAGCAACAACAAAACGCAGCGCCTGGGAGCTGCGGAGCTGCACCGCGGATGCAGGGCACAGAAGGTGCTGACAAGGGGGGATACAAGCAGAGCAGAGCAGAGCCCGGGCGTTGTGCCAGGATGGAGAGCCCCTGTAGGGCAGCTCCTCCAGCCGTGGGGCTGGGGGTCTGGGCAGGCAGCCCCCCGGTGCCCATGCAGCTGAGCACAGTGCGATGCTCCAGCCCTGGCTTCCTTCCCTGCACAAGGGAAACAAGGTGCACCAGAAGGTGCCAACGCAACAAAGCTCCAGCATTCGGAGGAGCATGAGCCCAGGTTAACTGACCTGTGGGTTTCCCCCCACAGGGAGGCAAGGATGGAAGAGGGCAGGAGCCACCTGCACTGCTGGAGGAGCCGCCCGCAGCAGCAGAGCTGGGGCTGTCCCGGCTCAGCAGCGCATGCTGAAGTATCCAAACAGGTCGGGATTGAGGCAGCACCCCTGCTCCGCACCCCAAAAAGAGCTGGGGGTGCTGGGCTCTGTCTCTACCCTCTGCTCTATTTGCTCACCCCAAGACCAGGAGGGCTGCAGATGATGGCCTTGCCCTTGGATACAGCTTTTGGCCCTCCAGTCCTCTTCAGGGGCACACTGAAGGTTGGCCATGGGAGCTGGAAAACAAAAACTTGCCCCGAGAGCAAGAAGGACAATAAATTACCCTTCCTAGCCAGGCACAGATCCCAGAGTGAAGCTCTGTTTTACTTACTCTGGCAGTCCAACTGGCTTCTGCCTTTGCCCAGGCACAAAGTCCTGCTTGAGCAGCTGACGATCTCTGTGGTCTCCTCAAGGATGCCTCTGTCTCTTGTTTTCTCGCTGCCCTTTGCAGACCTCGCTTGGTTCTGAAAACAAGGCCACATCTTTCATCTGCTCAGAAGCCAGCAAAAGTCTTCATTTTGCTGCAAGAAGAGAAATTGTTAGAAAAAGTGGAGACAACCCCCTGCAGGCCAGCTCTGGCAGAGCCCACCTTCCCCTGGGCCAGCTGGATGGGGTCTCTGCTCAGCCTCAAGACACTGGGGACCAAGAAATTCCCTTGACATGGCCAGGGTTGCAAAAGGCAGCAAACGTCCAGGGAGGTCTGTCAAAGTCCTGCCTGGGGCTGCCAGGGCCGATAGGGTGGGATTGAGGAAAGGAAAAGGCAAAATGGGCTCCTGGGAACGTCTCCCCATGTAAGGGTTATGGTGTGCAGAGCAGTTCCCTGGAGGAGGATGTGGACGAGTTAGGCTAGAGCCCAGAACAAACACCAAGGTTGCAGCAGCCCCAAATTAGAGGAGGTGCTGCGCCCCTCAGCGCACCCATGGGCACACAACAAGCAAGGAGGAGGTAGCTCTGCATTTGGGAGCGGATGGCATAAGGGACGGGGGCTGAGGATTATAAAGCAGCAGCTGAATTGCTGCACAGACATGAGGAATTAACTGTTTCAGAGCTGAAAGCCTTTTGTGAGCAATTTGTCACGCAGCCTTCTGCAGCAGACTTCTGAAATACCGAGGGGAGCGATGCTAAGCCACGCAGGGGGGGCAGGCAATGGGCTTCTGTACAGGATTTAGAGACCTTTCAGAGACTCTGCCAATTAGCTATTGCGAGCCCAGCACCTCCCGCTGCGTGCCCTGGAGCTCCCCTCGCTGCAGGGGGCACAGAAATGGGGCAGCAGCTCCGGGGCTGTGCAGCCTCCTTCACACCAGAGGGACAGGAGCCAGACCAGCAGAGGCTCACCAGGCAGACCGACAGCCTCCGAGCCCTGATATTTGCCACCTCCCTTCCACATCTACCAGCCAGACGTCCTCTGCACAGCTTGGGCACCTTTGGGTGCTGGGGGCAGGTGCCAGCAGTAGCCCACCCTGTGCAGATGCTGTCCCAGAGGGGTGCTGCTGCTGCTGGGCTGCCCGGGCGCTGCTCTCCCATCTTGAGTGGGCACCGAGCGCGTGGTCTGGGCAGACAACACAGGGAGCATTCACAGCTGCTGGGCTTTGTGTGCCGATCCCCTCGGGGCTACGGCAGAGGGCTGTAGGGTGAGAGATGTCCCAGCAGCTGCCGGCTGGACCACAGCACAGCATGAGATCAGAAAGAAGGCAGGAGCCTGTATTCAATGGGCCTCTTGTCTCCATCTTCCCTCTGCTTCCTTCGCACAGCCCCCCCCTCCCTGCCATCTCCCCTCCCCAGCCCAACGCCAGCGAGCCTTCCCACATCCTGTCCTAGCAGGCCCCAAATCCTCCCTCGCCCCCTCCAACACTCTCATCCTTCTCCACCAGTGAGTTTTCTCACATCCTCCCACCCTTTTCTTCCATAAATGTACTCCGTTGCTTTTTTAAGCCACATAACCCATAAGCACCCCCCAAGCATCCTGTAAAGGAGGAGTGCTGTGAAATTACAGCTTTGCTTTTCAGCCTGCTCCTCCCAGCTTCATTCACGCCTCACAGGGTCTGTGGCAGACACACAAACATCTCCGGTGAATGATTTCATGCAGGTCCTTCACATCCCTCTGCTGGGTGAAGCAGCCCCAGGTCTCCCCAGTCGTTCTTGTTGCATCTCTCTGCATCGTTTCAAGCTCATTACATCCCCCCTCAGGCAGGGGAAGCAGCACTGCAGGCAGCATCCAAGATGCCGTCACACGACACGTTTAAAACCAAAAAAAAGCCACTGCTGTGCCACGCTCTGATTGTTTTTCCTTCCTCTCCTTCCTTTCCCAGGGATTTCTAGATCTCAGATGAAGCTTTTGAGGTTGAGCCAGCACAGGTCACTCAGCTGACATTGTCACAGACACCCCATAAAGGCTCCAAGTGGCAATGGTCAGCTCGGAGCATCACCATCCATCAAAGGGTGAAAAGGCAGCAAGATGACCCCTTTGATACTGTATAAGCCACAGACCATCTGTGTGAAGTCCTTTTTTTTCCTACTCAAACACTAGAAATATTCCTACTATTCACTGTCTTCCCAAAGTATTTATTTCCCTGCCTTTTTGCCTGATAAATAACGGGCTAACAGCTATGAATGACCTCTCCCCTCATCCCATGGGAACATCTTTAGGAGACTGGTGAGAGATCCCTTTGGAAATCCAGGTGGGATTCATCAGCTGGCTCCTCAAGCCTCTTCATCATCAGTAGGACAAGAGCAAAACACTGAATATTAATGCTGCTCGAGACTTTATGGCTGGGCTGAAGGACCGGGAGGCTGGAAAGCCAAGCTCAAAAATGCATTTTTGGGCCTTCTCTGCTGACCTGGTTCAAGATTACGGTGTCTCTGCAGGCGACTGGCAAAACATCTCAGGAGGACTTGGAAAGGATCAGGCAATGGGGTCACCTCTAGGCTCCATGCACTGCAGCTTCACCCCCTCTGAGGAAGAAGAGGGGATGAAGCACATGTCCCTCCTTCCTGCTGGGCCACAGCTTGGGGCGTGCGGGATGGATTCGCCATCCATTTGCTCTGTTCACTGTGCTGCGCCACGGGGAGCAGATGGCTCGTGCGTGATGTCAAGGTGACAGGAAAGGAGCCGGGTTGAGTCACTGCAATTACAAACCAGCCCCAAATCACTGGGCTGAAGCTCGGACTGAGGGACAATCGCAGCGCTGGACCGGAGGACACTGAGCTATTGTGCGCGCACCCGCCGTGGTCTGCGGGCGATGAGCTGGCTCCAGCGATCCCCTTTTGCTGACCCCTCTACCCCACAATGAGCCCTTTAAGCCATTAAGCAGAGTCCCGCCAGCGTTTCCCATTCCTTTATGGGTTTGCATGAAGCTGCTGGTGGCTGAGCAGATGCAGCTGCCTGGGCGGGCAGGAGTCAGATCGGCGCTGACAAGTCCTGAGCCTCGCAGCCACCACCGGGCGGGTGAGCGTGGTGGGGAGGAGAGCTGCTGGTGCCTGGCAGTGCAGCGATGGAGAGGTGGTCACATCAGCACGATGTGACCTGCTGGGAGAGCTCCTGGGGACCACAGGGCATCTGACAGGGGGGTTGTGGGGAAAGAGCTGCGAGAGGCAGTGCCTGCCCACTGCCCAGCCCACAGGAGAGCGCAGGGTCCAGTGGCAGCCTCCCAAAACACACGCTCTCCTTTGTACCCCGTGGCAAAGCCAAAGCTAGTTTGGGACTGTGTGGGTGCTGTGCTCTGAAGTACTTGCCCTTAAAGCACCTTAAAAAGAACCAAAAAGGGGAAAAACCCCACCGGGCTGAAGGACATCCCTTGGTAAAACAGAGTGCCTAGGGCTTACCTTACCTCTACCCGAAGGGCAAGGTGCAAAGGGAGCTCTGCCACCCCGGCAGCCTGGCTACTACAGCAGCAGGAGCCTGGTGTCACGGCTCTGAGGGAGCCTGGAGGCTTCTCAGGTCCCACCAATGCCCCTGCCCCTTCCATCCTTGTCCTGCCCAGGAGCACGACGACTGCCTGAGCCATGAGCTGCCCCACGTCTGTGGCTTCTCCAGCAGCGCCGTGCCTGGCACGTGGGAGGCAGTGAACAATGGCCCCTTGTTTGTGCAGGTGTGCAAAGGGACCCCCACCCCTGGAGGGGAAACATCAGTCCCCATCCTTCTTGCCACCTTGCAGCATACCCTTTAACTCTAAATCCCTGACCCTTGCTGCAAGTAAAAGAAGAGCAAGCATCCCACTGCTCCTGTGGGCTGCTGAAACAGAATTGCAGGTTTCTCTCGATGCTCCTCCTGGATGTGAGACAGGAGAGTTGTAGCTTTCTCTCCTACATCTCTATTCGGGTTTTCATTTTCCAAAGGCCTGGCTTAGAGATCTCCCTCCCCCACTCTTCTGTCTGGCCACCAGCTTGCAGCCACTGCTGTGGCACAGATCCGGCACCACGTGTGTGTCCTCATTTCTGCTTTCCTGGGTCCTGTGCCTCTCTGCTTCCTTTCCCACCGAGTGCACCACACACCCTGTGCCCAGAATCTCCCATAGTTTCAGCACTGCACAAGCTGTGCTGACCGTAGCCATCTCTTTCACACTGTTCTCCTCGAACCCTGGCATTTCTGAACCTGCTTCCAAGCTCTTTCCCTTTTCCCAACCCCTTTGATCTCTTTCCCTTCTGCCCTTAGCATGGCACCAGCTCCTTCTTGCTATCTTCTCCCTTAGCTTCTGGCACCTGGGTGTACCTCCACACATCTCAATACAACCTCAAGTCTTTCCACCTCTTTGAGAGTATTTCTCGTCGAAATACAATAGTAGCTTGGCCACACTTGCACAGGTAAAAGGCCCAACTCTACCTGCTCAGCCTGCAGGAACAACTCTGGAATTTGGATGCTCCACGATGCTGGGCAGGACAGACGCCAGCACACAATACAGAGCGCTGCGTTAGCCAGCACTAATGGAGCAGTGGAGAAGCTATTTTGGAAATAGATTAAAAGGATGTAACGCCCCAGCAGCTGCAGCAGTACCAGCTGGGTATCTGAACCGTGCCACAGTTTCCTTGACAGCTGATAGGAACAAACTCCAGGCACTAATGGGAGGCACAGCTTCTCCTTCCCGGACCAGCCCTGAGATGCCACGTGCCGGGCAGCCCCTGCCCCATCCTGCTCCCCACCTGCAGCAGCTCCCAGGGACACGGCCACGCCGGTGTCATCGCCATCTGCAGAGAAAACACGGGACCCCGTGAAATCCATGTGGCAGAAACAGGGAACGGGCCCCAGCATCTGTACTCCCTGACAGACTTTCTGAACAAGAGCCTCACGCCTGGTTTCTGGGCAGAAAAGAGTGCCTTTTGCGCTCGTGCCAGGGAAAAGAGACAGTGAACACTTCACCTCCTGCTCCTCCATGCCTGGCAGGTGTGGGGCAGACCCCAGCAGCTTTACTCTCCCCCCCCGCCAATGCTCTTTGACTGATGCCTTCATGCTGGTGGTGCAGCGGGGGCGAGAAGGGCAGGCGGGGATGGATTAGGACCCAGACTGCCTGGCAACACCTTCCTCCCC